TTTCATAGAAATAAGGGCACCTGTAATTCATTTGAGAATGTTATAAATCGCTAAAAGAGGTTTCAAATCTCTTGGATTTCTATTAATATTAAATAACTTTTATTAAAAATTGAACTAAAATTGTTAGTATCATTAAAAACAATTCAAATTCAAAAATTGTATCAGTCAAATTCCCTCATTTAAGGTGAATATTAAAGTAAATATAAATACAGCTCATTCGAAGCTCTACTTATCTTTAAGAAAAATTTAAATCATTGTTGCAATTGGGCCTTAATGCCATTTCGAATGAACAATAGTATTAATAATGTACATTATAATAATAATAAATTTTATATCATAGTGTGTATTAAAACTACTAAAACACTTTTAAATTGGTATTATATTAACAACTTTTGTTTTTTAATCCAAAAAAAGTTACCAATTTTCTCAATCAAAATATTTGTGGTCCTGAAAAGGACCTTCGTTTTCCCATGTTCGTCAAGGTAGGTAATGGGTAAACGGTAAAAAAAACAGGATAATGAAATTTAAAAAATTACAAAAATTGTTCAAAAGTGCCTCCCTCTTGCATTAAACAATAACCCAAACGATCATAAAATCCCCTCCTCACATTGGATAACATATCAGGGGTGACAGTGTCAAAGGCATTAAATATTTTCTGCCTTAACTGCTCCAAGTTTTGAATTTCTTCATGGCCGTAAATTTTAGATTTTATGTACCCCCATAAAAAGAAATCATTCACCGAGAAGTCAGGTGAAATTAAACGTCAGTCTAAACAAAACTGTCATTTTTGAAAACTTGTCAAAATTTGGACACACGCTAAATGGACTTGATTTTCCTATGTCTCGAAGTCTGTGGACTTTTCTGTATAATCTCACAGTAATTTAATAGATTGCTCGTCATATTATATCAGCTCGTAGGAGATTAGGAAAAAAAAGATATTTATAGTATAAAAAATTAATTTATTTAACAAAATTAAATTAAAGATGTGACAAAATAGTTACATTTCTATTGGTTCTATCGGACTTTTTTCGACTATATAAATCTTTATTTTTTGTAAACTTTAATGCATAAAATATTTTCACTTATAATATCACAAGAGCTTAAATTATTTTCGGAAATTTTTTTGAGGGCACGAATATTTTGAGAATTATCCCGAGCCGAAGACGAGGGATAATTTTCCTAAAATATTCGTGCCCGAAAGAAAATTTCCAGGAATAATTTAAGCTTGCGTGGTATTCGGTAAGAAAATTTCACACCTAAATTTGAAAAAAAATTAATCCAACATGACATTTTAAAATAATTTCAATTTGTTAAGTTGGCCAAGGTATTGATGTTTTTGACATATTATGTGTTTTGTCATTTTGTTTGCGATTCTGTCATTAAGCTATTACTAGTTTTAAAACGTCTGTACGTAGAGTAAGAAGTGTATAGCGAAATGTCGCGATTTGGAAAAGTAAACCAACAAGTCATTAAAGAAGAAATTGAAAATATAAAACCAGATAACACCCGAAAATCAAAATCAAGTGTATATCCATCATATTTCGTTAAATAGAAAAATACCAGCTTTAGTTAAATAAAGGCGGCAGAACTATATTTTTTAGAACATGGCAATTTCGAAGAAATTCATATGTAGGTATATCTAACATATTTCCTTAAATAAAAAATATTACCAACCTTAGTTACATCAAATGCTAAAACTCAAATGGGTAATATTTCAATATATAGACATTGTAGTTCATTCACATTATGAATGTAGATCTTATGTTTACCTTTTCAACTGTCAAAAATTTCCACTAAAGTTTTCGTGGCGCCTCGAAAAAATTTCGGAAATTTTTTCAGTTGCCATGGTAACTAGTCAACATTAAAGCATGTTATTGGTTGAAAAGTAGAGGTGTGAAATTTTCAATCTAGTAAATAATTTAATGATGTAAATAAGAGGAAATTTCTCACATGGGTGGTCAAATTCTATAGTTTTCATTATATCAAACAGCCTCTGAATGTTTTCTTCAGTGCAAAATTCATCAAAATTTAATATAAATAATTTTTCCAGCCTGTAAATAAAATGAACAAATTTTTCCACTTTCATGATCAAAGGCTTTTAAATGGGTAAATAATTTCGAGTTATCCAGAGATTCGGATGCTTTTGCAAATTTTAGACAAATATCACATTGATGTATTTGAAGACACTTTTTAATGATCTAGTCAAACATAATTAAAGGCATTTTGAGTTGAAAACATTTCTCAGAGGCTGTTTGATATAAAGAAAACTATAAAATTTGACCACCCATGTGAGAAATTTCCTCTTATTTACATCATTAAATGATTTATTAGATTGAAACTATTTGATGTATTAAAGTTTACAAATAAAGATTTATATAGTCGAAAAAAGTCCGATAGAACCAATAGAAAGATAACTATTTTGTCACATTTTTAATTAAATTTTGTTAAATAAATTAATTTTTTATACTATAAATATCTTTTTTTCCCTTATAAATAAACACATTTGCATCCCATTTTAAATAAGATATACAAATTACCAAAACTTAGAAATAACAGTTCAAAAGTTCAACAAAAATCCTACACGCGTTTTTAAAAAGAAACATATAACCACGCACTATGTCATTCCAGCAAGCGAATACGACACATCATAGGTTTCCGGACTAAACGACTGGTGTATTTACACCACTCAATAGGCGTGTCGGGTTTGCCGAGCGGTTTCCGATGCAGTCGCTTTATTTCGCATCTGTTATAGGTAATTTGTGGTGATGTAATGATGACACTTTTCTGACGGCTGCGTTGCGTTTGACGTTTCAGCTAAACATTGGAGGTTAAGAATGTTAAAATTGGCACATGTCGTGTGTAAAATGACACATGTCGTGCGCTAAATCCTTAGCACACAACAGTTTGCAAAACGCCAATTTCAGATCGAGTTTTTCGTGTGTCAAACTGCATTTTCTAGGTTAGTCGTGAAAAAACGTATTTATAGGATAAATTGTTTAATAATTCGGCTAAAATTTAATATTTTTCGATGATTCAAAGTTCATTTAAAAGGTAGAATCAACACCTATCACATTTGAAACTTGTTTGAATTTTGTCATATTTTATGATAATAAAAAACCAGATTCAGATTTTTACAAACTTATTCATATTTTCACTAATAATAGCTTGTTTGTCAACATTTTTTTGTGCTGGTGCCAGATGTCACAAGCATTGTCATACACAATTTTATAAGTAATTTTCCATAGCCTCTAGACCATCAAAGGTGCAGGACGTTCCTTGGATTCCGATACTTCAGATCACATGACACAGGTGACACATGGCGCAGGTGACATTTCCAATGGAAGGTGTGATCATAGATAAATGCAACAAGTTTAGATTGGAAAGCCCGTAAAAATTTTAGGTCGCGAATATATTTTGGGTCGCGACCGTTATACGCGATCTGGCGCTGCTATAGCGGTCGCTAAGAACAACGGCAAACAAAAACAGAACTTTTTCTCGGCAACCGTTTGATGAACAAGAAAAACTCAAAAGATCAATTTTGTTGAAAGGATGGCCAGTCAAAAAAAATACATTTTCTTTAAAAAAGCAGTAGTGTACCATTTATGTTAAGCAAAATATCGATTTTTTTAATTTTTAACACCCTGTAGATCAGAAAGGAAGTACTTTAGACCTAATGGTTATATAAAAATTGTTTTAAGAACACATGAGGAATCACACCACAATTTTTTAGACTAATTAGAAAACACCCTGTGTATTGTCAACTTGACAATGATTGTTGATAAATCAAAAAATACCTTTTCTGTGAAAAAAACCCGATTTTCGCAGGAAAAATTTTGGTTTTTATTGAATTTGGGCCTGCGTCTGCAAATACCGGTATGTTTTTTAATATTCTATCTATCTAAATTTTAAATATCATAGTCAGAAATACTTTTATTATTTATTAACTGTAAAAATGGTATACTTATAAGTTTTATCAAATATTGTGATTTACTTTATACCTTGTAGTCAAAATTTATATTTAATAAACTGTAAAATATATATATTCTTATGTTTTATTAAAGTTACTCTGATATACTAATATATCAGTGTAACTTTAAAACTAAATCCTTTGAAATGAAATATAAACATAAAAAATATTTACAGCAGAAAAGGCGAAGGCGCTGAGTTAAACGTAGTCTCTACTAAGAACACGGAGGGGCGCTTTGACCCAAAATTTTACTATTAAGTTTCATATCTATCTTAATAGAAGATTATTTTCTTTTATCTATGAACAGAAATAATTTTCTCTTGTCAAAGAAAAAATCTTCAAAAATCATAATAATCTTTCAAAATCTAAACCGCTCTCATTAAAGAAATTCCGAAAAGTGTTTATAGCGTCCATTTTCAAAGTAATTATTGCTATCTTGTGAGTTTAATTCAAGTTTTATTTACTCCAACCGGTGATAATTGTGATAAAGTGGCATTAAAAACTTAAAAAACTGTGCTGTGAACTGTGATCTGCAAAAACCATCGTGTATCGTAGCATAACGTCGGTTTCCAATGTTTCATAGGTATTTCATACATGCGTCCTTATATAAAATAAAGTTTCTTGTATCCAACACACTGTATTTTATTTATAAAATTAAACGAAAATAATAATAAATTTGAATAAACAATATTTGGCGATATAATTCCGGAAAAAGCCGAACCGCTCCGAAATTTTCAAAAGTTTTGGGTCGCGACCGTTGCAAGAATAGCGCCAAATAGTGTTTACATTGTCCTTATGGGCACTTTCCAATCTAAACTTGTTTCATTTATCTATGGGTGTGATTTATATCTTGATTTTGTATTTTTGGAGATTAAGGTTGCATTCTTATTTCTTCAAACATTGACAATGCCTAGGAATTCTATACATATCGATTTTAAACTTTGCTGGTAATAGATATACTAAACTGTTTTTTAAAAAATATATTTTTTATTTTGAGTTGAAATGATTTTAACTAGATATTTATTCTTTTCAGATATAACTACATCAGTTGTAATGCATCAGTGAAAACGAAAAGAACATGGAGAATGTTCTGTGGAACTCTTCATACGTTTATGGCATCGACAATGAAAGTGGATGGGGTGGCAGATACTTCTTCACTTACTTCTCCGAATTTGACAACAGCAGGAGCTACTATTATATCGTCGAAGTGGTTATATTCTTGCTGACTTTTGTAGTTTCTATAATAGCCAATGTGTCCATCATCATATGCGTTGCACGGTAAGTTTTCTCTATCACCTTAAAAATATGTTTTTTTTTGTGTTTGATAGAAAATGACATTCTGCATAGAATAACATATCTATGTTATATAGATATGTTATCCATATATTTTCAAATAAAGAAAAAATGTGTGTGCACAAGTCGTGCACTATGTACGCATATTTGAAGTGAAACTTCAAACATTTTATCGTCGACCGAAAAGATTAATTCACGAGCGATGAAATCACGAGTGAATTAATTTCGGGAGCCAATAATGCAATTTTATCGTCGGGTATAAAACAATATTTTTTTCCATAGCGAGTTACGTTTTAAAAAATATTCAGAAATTATTATTTCAAGGAATTTATTACGAGTAGAAAAAATGTTGTGCTGGGTTAGCGTTGGTTTCTATGTAATTTGACAAATAAATAAAGCTGTCTCTTTAGTTGTCAGTTTTGACTTAATATCATAGACAAATAAATAAAAAGGGACTGACAAATCTCATGGTAAAGAGTGGGACCACGTTCCCGTAGCGCAACTCAGAATAACAATTTTGAAACCAATTAGCAGGACCATAGCAGGACGTACGTTTTTATTGCTATCTTTCTTTATTATGTGTGCTTTATATGAAAAAGAAAGAGATAGGTATAAAACGTATCGTAAGACATTATCGCACATTCTGGCTGGCGGAAAATTTAAATTAGCCATTATTAATTGTATTCTTTCATTCCGAAACTGAAAATTTTCACTTAAATTGATTTATTCCCTATACCACGTAAAGGGAACGTGGTGTAGGGAATAAATCAGTTTAAGTGAAAATTTTCAGAACGAAAGAATATTACTATTATAAGGGAAATTATAAAAAAAAGCAAAAATTGTACTGTTTTATAAACATATTTATTTATACATAAAAATAAATAAACTTTTTATAATATGATAACAAAAAATAACAGTGTTTATTCCACCCACCTACCAATTTTAAATGCAGAAGAACTGACTGTTGCAGGAAACCTATCGGCCAATTTTTTTAAAGGGCATTAAAAATATCATTTTCGAAAAAACTGCCTAATTGCAATAACAAAGCGAATCCAAGCAAAGAAGACTTTACGAGAATCATGATCCTGAACCATTTTCAAGTCCAGTTTTAATCCTAAAACAAAAGTAAAATAGGTATATTAATAAAGTTTCTGGTTACTATAAACCAGCTATAAACTACCTACCCAAAAAATGAAAAAAAATAATTGTATTAATTTGTTATGTTAAGAGAGGTTCGAAATATTTTTGACACTACTACTTCTACTTTTTTCTTAATAAGATGATAAATATAACTACTTACTTTTATTTTACCGGGTGTCTTTAACATATCTATCAGAGAAAGGGGGCATCAATACATATAAAAAATAGATACTGGCTCCTGCAGCAAATAAAATAACAGGCTCTGGTGCACAATAGGTCCCCACGCATTTAACACTTTTTTGGGATTTTTTTGCAAGATTATCTTAAACTGAATATTTTTAAGCATAAAAATTGTTGGATGAATGTGTTTTATCTTTAAAAAGCGGCAAAAAAACGTATTTTAGGTACAGGCGACGGACAGTAAATATGTTAAATTTTCTACACGGATTCAGTAAAAACATCACATATTAGTACTTTATTACCTTATATAGACGTGGAATGATCTAATTTAAGCACAAAAATGTAACGAATCTTCTTTGTAAGCATAAAAATTAAGAAAATATATTTATTTACATCAGCTCAAGCTAGCAATTTTATGACTTTTTCGATTGACAGTTAATCGATCATCGGTATGTCATCTATGGCCTTCGCATAGAATTTGCGACGTTGTCAATAAAATTACTTTATATGATTTTCTTCTGAAATAAAGTTGTTGTGGAGGGACTTAAAACGGTAAGTTATCACTTTAGTGCAACAAAAATTGAACTGTCTAGTAGCTTATTCGTTAGTGTGGATTATTTTAAAGCAATTTCTGAAATAAAATTTGCGGATTTTTCAGGTTCTACGAAAATATAAGTTTTTTTAATATATACTGTTTTTCGACGCGTAATCAATGAAGTTTTGTCATTAGGCTCAATTAGGTTAGCCTGGTTATTTGGAAGGTGGTAATGCATTGGTTAGCCTGGTTATTTGGAGGGTGTTAATGCAATGGTTAGCCTGGTTATTTGGAGGGTGGTAATGCATTGGTTAGCCTGGTTATTTGGAGGGTGTTAATGCATTGGTTAGCCTGGTTATTTGGGGGTGTTAATGCATTGGTTAGCCTGGTTATTTGGAGGGTGGTAATGCATTGGTTAGCATGGTTATTTGGAGGGTGTTAATGCATTGGTTAGCCTGGTTATTTGGGGGTGTTAATGCATTGGTTAGGTTAGGTTGATAGGCTGGTTATTTGGAGGGTGGTAATGCATTGGTTAGCCTGATTATTTGGAGGGTGTTAATGCATTGGTTAGCCTGGTGATTTGGAGGGTGTTAATGCATTGGTTAGCCTGGTTATTTGGGGGTGTTAATGCATTGGTTAGGTTAGGTTAGATATTCTGGTTATTTGGAGGGTGGTAATGCATTGGTTAGTCTGGTTATTTGGAGGGTGTTAATGCATTGGTTAGCCTGGTTATTTGGGGGTGTTAATGCATTGGTTAGGTTAGGTTGGTGGGGAGTGTTTGGAAGTACGCAGATCACATCGATTTCGGAATCTTACTGAACAAATCCGGGAAAATATATTTTTAAACAATTGTGCTAAATACTGTGTAATGATTTTATTGTCAATTTATTTTTATAGTGTTTTTGTTTTGCCTCGTTTATTATATTTTTAATTTTTCGTGTTCTTAAAGTGCGTACTAAATGTAAAAAAAATGAATATAAAGTAGAACGTTTTCGTCGATTTTACACAGGGTGAGTATGGCAACACTGTGCATAACCTTGTATTTTACTGTCTTTATGAAGGTTATAATAGGGAGTTTTTGCATTGAAATGTAGTGAAAATTTGGAATTTTCAATTATTTTTTTTCGTAGAAAAAGTGGTTCATCCAACAATTTTTTTCTTTTAAACCATTCCATTAACTATGGGATCCACATTAAAAATTAAAAAAACCACGATTTCGTGGGGACCTGTTCTGCACAAGACCCAAAATAACAAATAGTATAACCGAAAATTATAAGTAACAAAATATAAATACCTATATGGAACAAAGAAATTTCCGGAATTTGTTCCCTATCCATATTCATTTCATAAGTCAATAAAATGGAGAGTTTAGAAAAAAAGGTAAATCACCAAAAGAAAAATTAACAAACATGACGAATTGTCACGATGTTGTCATCTTGGTTGTCATGATGACGAAAACGAAAGGCGATTGTTCTAATTTCTATTTAGAAATTACGTTTTATATGGCTGCTTCTTTCTCTCTTGTTATATTAGAATGAGATAGTGGGCCCAATAGACGCAATGCGCAAATCAACATAAATAGAACGAAATTTTACGTTCTGAGTTGCGGTACGGGAACGTTGTCCCTCTCTTTGCCATTTAATTTGCCAGTCTCTTTTTATTTGTTTGTCTATGGTTAATATTTTTTGATTCTCTTTCGTGTCGATTGCTGATTGAATTGGAGCCAGAAATGGTTCAAAACGAAATAAGTAAATTACCAACAGATATTCAGGCTGAGGCGACAAACGCCATATCCAAACTACTTCCATTAAAATCCCGAATAACTTATGAAAAGGAATACAAAAAATTTCAAAAAGAGAAGCAATTAAAAAACGTACGAGAAGAAATAAAGTTTTTAACCTATCTTCGCTGTTAAAGTATCATTTAATCTACCCTTGCGGTTAAAGTACTATTTTATCTACTATTTTTGATAGATATAAGGCAATTTTAACAGTTGATATGGAAAAAAAATAATTTGATTCATTTTTCAAAGTTTGTATTAAAATGACCGTCTGTCCGTCTGTATTGTATAGTAATTATGTATAGTCTATAGTATCTAATTAATAAATAGTTTGATTCTCATTTTCACAAAATTTGTATTGAAATAACAATATTTTTGATAAACACTTGCACTGCTCACCAATACACATCGCGTCACTACGTATTTCTAAGTCGTAAGCTGTTCTTACCACTTTTCGTAGGGGTTTCGACTGGGTACATATAAGAGATTTCTAAAAATAAACTAAACAGGATTGTAATTCTATATCTCAATAGAATAACCTCTTTGATCATGTTTTCCTACGCGACATTTCGGTCTGTTTAATTTTTAAGTCCGACCTAGTTGCATAGATTTCCTTTGTTTTAGCATTAATGAAATATTCAGTTGGAAATTGTAATACCTACGTTCTATGTTTCTGTTCGAATGAACGAAACCTACTTGAAAATTTCAAAAGGGTTTTTATTACATTTGGGACATCTAGGACACAGGGAAGTTGATATTTTGATGTTAGCTTTATTTAGGTTGAATATTGATGAAGTTATTTTCTTTTTAACTCCTCAACATTTACAGTATGTCCCCGGATTGTCTTTACAAGACGAAAAACTTTTTTATTATTGACATTTTAAGAAAAATGCATTCTTCATAAACATTTTTGCTTGTTCTAAAATGGTTAATCCAGTTTATACTTTTTCAAATTATCATACCGTTTTAGAGAAAATTAAGAAAAACATGAATATATGGTTTGATTTTTTTTTGAAAGTCCTAAAAATCAAAAGGCGTTTCTATGGTAATATCAATTCGATTTCATTCTTTTATTAATTTTAAGTTATTATTAATTTTGATTAATGTCATATTCTTTGCTGTTAAAAAGTATCATATTTTCCTATAACTATTATCTAGTGATGGGAAAAACCGATTAATTTCAGTAATCGAGTAGGTACTCGAGTTTCAAGCGATTGCAATAACCGAGTGATCGCTCGAGCGAAATATCACTCGTATTTAAAAATACGGGTTTTCACCCGTTGCTTGTTGTAAGTACTCGTTAACGCCAAGCGCCAAGCAGTAAGTTGCGTGCACAGGGCACATATTCTT